ATATACATTTTAAACATTTACAGTTCTAACTGTTATATCATTCTTTTAAGTGTTCCTGGAGAAATACAAATACATGAACAGTTTAATGCCTGACACTTCCATTAACAAATAAATGAATGTGCTCTTCCTAGCAGTGGGAAATTATACTCCCCATCCTCAAAAGTATATTCTGTTTTACTTCCCACTCTTGCCCTAGAAATTTATGCTGTCAAAACAGATTTTTTTATTACAAGGTTTTTCTTCTTTCTTTTCTTGTAGCTTTCCCTCCCTCCCTCCCTCTCTCTTCCTCTCTCTCTTTCTTTTTAGTTTAATAAGTTTTTTTATTGTGAAAATACTGTACATGGGCTGGGAAGGTGGCTCAGTGATAGAGCACTTGCCTTGCATGCTCGAGGCCCTGGGTTCGATTCCTCAGCACCACATAAGAAAAAAAGCCAGAAGTGGTGCTGTGGCTCAAGTGGTAGAGTGCTAGCCTTGAGCTGAAGAGCTGAGGGACAGCGCCCAGGCCCAGAGTTCAGGCCCCACGACCGGACCCAAAAAAAAAAAAATACTGTACAGAGGGGTTACAGTTACATGAGCAAGGTAATGAGTACATTTCTTATCAAGTATCTTTGCTTGCTTGCTTTCCTTCCCTCCCTCCCTCCCTCTCTCCTTTCCTTCCTTCCTTCCTTTCCCTCCCTTTGCTCTTCATTTATTTATTTTTTTGTTTTTCAACAATGTCTCACTATGTAGCCCCATCTGGTTTCAAAGCTATAACTCTTCTGCTTCTGCCTTTCAAGTTCTGGGATTACAGGTAGATGTCACTATACCAGACAATATTACAAGATATTTTAAATGATCCTTCAAAGAATGAGGAAACTACATGATGCATAAGAAGCAAGGATTAAGGAGCCAGAAAAATAGAGAAAAGTACATCACCCAATAAGCAGGAAGACGTTTTTAAATCCCTGATTGTTGCAATTGCTTCTATTGCTATCACACCAACTTAGCTCTCAGAAAAATCTTCAACCTGATTAAAACCTTCCATGGAACATGTACATTCATCAAATTTTACCTTCAAATTTCCTGTCAAAATGACTGTCAATTAATTAGAATTTTTGTTAGAAATGAGGATGATATTGATAATAACCTTAGCAGCACTTTTGAAAGATACACTAAATCTAAGCACTAATTATATTTCTACCTCTATCAACCTATTCATACAGCTGCTACCAAACCTAGAAATACAAATTACAGAGTAAGTTACTGATATTACAATATTAACTTTCAAGAATTATGACCAAATTATAAAATGTATGTTGGGCACTATGATTACCAAAGTTTACCTGTGAAGAAATCAAGGGACTGCTTTAAAAATTTAATAGTTATTGAAAGTTTCAAAGGTTAATAGTTATTAAAAAGTTAATAGTTTGAAAGCAAACTGGGCAACTTGTTTGGGGAGTCTATATTCCATAGCAAAATATAAGATTGTTACAAATGTTTTATTCATTTTTAGACAAAGTTTGTCCAAAACACAAATAAAATATCATTAGCAATGCAATTCTGCTTTTGTTGTAGTGAAATCTTAACTCAGGGTTTTTACTCACTAGATAGAGATTACTACTGCAGCCATACCAGACCTGAAGCCATGTTTACTCTGATTATTTTTCAGATAGGTAGGGTCCTATTTATTGCTGGGCTTTCCTGGACCATAACCATCCTATTTGGGCTTTCTGTTATATCGGGATGATAAGCACTCACTACCATGCCCAGCATTTTATGTTGAAAGTGAATGCTCATGAACTTTTTTGCTCAGACGGGGTAGCAACTGTGATTTTCCCAGTATTTACTTCTGGGATAGCTGGGATGGCTAAAATAATCTACCACACCTAATGAAACATGTCCTCTAATGAGATTTAAAAAAAAAAAACTATACTACTAAAACTTTACAATAAATTAAGGAATTCTTTATAGATGCTTTTTTTTATTTAGACAGAAGACAAAAACATATGGCTACAAGAACAGAAGATAGAGTGTGGTATGTTTACTTTCACATGATGGAAATAAAACCTTGAGTCAAAAAATGAGCAGAAAGCAGTAGAATGAGTGACCTTATAGTTTATTTAAGACAGCCTTCTATTTATGTTTCTAGATTTAGATCAATCTCTAATTTTACAGATGTGGCAAGGCAAACTTCAGGCCATTTATGTGTCATGGTAGAACGAAAGAAGTGATACAAACCAGTCCTATGTTGGTCATTATATTTCATACCCCCAGTTTCTTGTTTTCTCTGGCTCTTGTAGTGGGTAGACAGTTGGAAGTCACTGACATCATGGAGAGATGTATTTTGCTGCCTAGTACTGGACCAAAACTAACCCACTCATAGGAGTACTCTTAAAAAAAATACAGAACAAAACCACAAGCCAAAATTAAGTACAGACTTGAGGGGAGTTTGCAATTAAGTCAAAGTCTTTTGCCTTCTTTTTTTTATTACCTTAATGTACTTCCCACTGAGCTAACCCAAATAGATTCACTCCTGCTTCTCTAATGTATCCATGTTGTTTGGTGGGAAAACTTTCATTGTGCCCTGCTGTGAAAATCTTACGGAATCTTCAAGGAACAGGCACTGTTCACACCATACCAAGATACTTTGAAGGACAAGTATAATTCTTCTATAGTCAGAACTTAGTTCTCAGTAAATACAGAATTTCTAGACATACACAAAAACCAAAAATTTGTAAAGATGCTATTTCCTTCAAAATCATACAGAAATACAGCCAAACAAACATAGTTCTAAAGTTCAAGTGAACAAACAACAAAATGGAGCCTGCAATGATTGTTACATACTTTCTGAGGAAGTTAATTTCTTATCTTGGAGTTAAAGTTTCAATAAGGTTACTGAACTTCAATGATAATTAGAAATAGATTCTTCTGTCATTAAAAAAAATTCAATCTACCAATGATATTTCTCTGATTTTTTTCTCTTTCCTAGCTCTAATTCATCTTTCCAGTTTTACAACTTGAGAAATGACTATGTCAATAAAACAATATAAAATACTTGAAGTTAGAAGAATTAAACCATTCCAAATCACATCCTTTGTGACTGGGTTTCTAGGTCCTGTCTTTAGATTAGAGCAGCTTCAGTCATATCACCCAGACTTTGATCTAGAATGGACCTGATAGGAGAATGATAGCAGAATCTGCTAATTTCAGACTTAGAAACTAGAAGCTGGGGAGGAGTTAGTGAACTGTCTTGGTCTTAAATTCTACAGCAGTGGTCAATGAGCTAAGAATAGGAACTTCTCTTCTCAACCTCAGTTCAGTGTTCCTTTTATTAGGTTAGAGTTAATCCTTGCAGGATTCAAACTAACATGCTGTCAAACTGGTTCTGCGTCTCTGTTTTATTTTCCATTTCTTGAAAGATGATTTTTCTTAACTTCTATCTGACCAGAATTTAAATTAATTTACACTTTAAATTGTACTTCTTAGAATTGAAAGTTAAAGCATACAAAACAAAACTAAATTTGAACAAAAGAAAAATAGTACCTATGTTCCAGAAAGCCTTTGAATTATAGCCAATAGAGAGAAAAAAAAGTTTAAAATTGGGCCATTCACTTTTTAATCCACTTCCCCTCATCTCTTTTGAACTGCCATTATGTTTTACAAGTTGTAATTGGAAAGATACTCTAAAATATGTAGCTATCTCCCTCTTCTTGTCCACATGAAGACATGGCTAGCACATACAGTAGCTGACTCACACTGGGTCTTCCTTAGTATATGTTACCCCCACCCCCATTATGTGTACTTCCCTAAGTCTCTTCATTAACTAAAATTGGGACTTTATAAAACTTGATCTGGCACGACATCATATAAAAGAGCTCAAGAAGAAAAGTCCAGCTGTCAGATATAAGGAGATATTTTGAGCCTCCAAATCTTGCTATTAGAAATTATGAGTCATGTGAAATGAAATGTACAAAGGAAGCTGACACATAAAAGGCCAGAACAATGATGAGTTCCTGGAGATAGGGTGCAGGACAAAGGACAATTACAGAGTGACTATTTTGGGGTCTACAGTATGACTTGGGAACTTAAATGTCATAACATAAGAAAGAACTACATCACATACTTCTGAACTTAGGGATAATTTAGTAGCCATTATTTTCATTAATGGTATTATAGTTTATTAGAAGGCTATACTTCTCGTCTAAAAATCAGCTATGGTAGGAAGTTTGATACTTTGTAAGGAAGATGGTTGTAGGATGTGAAAACAACTGCATAATTTATGTATTATTTGTCATGCTGCTATGATGCTAAATACACACAAGAAGACATATTTGTCTGTAACAGCAGTCTTTTTGGAAGTACCAATACCCTAAGACTACCAGCACTGAAACTGAAATGGCTTTGCCAAGCAACCTTAAATAGTGTTTAGAGCAGTTTAAAATTTTAAAACAATTCACCTTCCATTTTCCTTTTCCCTTATCCTTTTATATTCCTGTTATGAGAAAGTTTTATCTCCATTGACAGATGTCTAATAATGACTATGAATCTGAAAATTAAATAACTCTACAGACAGAAGATATTCTATTCAAATGAATAATGTATCCCTGTTATCTTACAACATTTAACCTGATGTCTTTTCTATATGGAATTGTGATCCTGATAAATAATATATATATATATATATATATGATATCTGTGGCTTATTAAATTACCAGTGTTACTAAATTTGTTCTAGCACATTCAAATAAATTTAATAAATCCAATCATCTAGATAAAGCAACAAGAATACAGTAATAATTCTCAAGGACATGATCTTGAAATCTGACAGTATTTGTCCATTGCCTTTCAAGATTTCTGTCTAATTAAAAGTTAATTATAAAACATACTTCGCAGTCTTTCTCACTATTGGTAATGTGCTCTGAACATCCCTGAATGAAATGTGTTATTGGAAATATGTGATTGGAAATCCAACATGTTACATCTATCTGGTCATGAATATGCTTTTGTAGTGTCTGCAATACCTGAAGGAATGCCCGTCCAGAGTGTTGATAGGTGGCAGCACAAGGGCTTGGTATATCATCGTAGGTTCCTGGATGATAAGAGAAGATTCTTGTGAACTCAGTAATATTCTTAGTAGTTGAGAGGATTGAACAGAATTGGATTTACACGTAGTATCTCTCTGTTAAAAACCATAGACATTGTATTTTATTTTTTAACTTTAGATCTGGTTATATGTATGAATAAATTGTATTTTCCAAAATCAGCTAGGAGCTGTTGACGAAAGCTAACCACATGATACATTTTTAAAGGCCCCGAAGAGATTCTGCTTCTAGATTGTTGCCCATCTAGGAAAAGAAAAACAAAAATGGAGTCCTACTGGGATTCACAAGTTATACAAGGCAGAAACTGAAATACATTGCCATTTAAGGTAAAGATTTTTCAGTTCCCCTCTCCAGTCACCTACAACTATGTATCAGAACAGTTGAATGAGGACAAAAGAGCTGAGTATAATTAGGCTTCATTGACAGAGACTATTAGGCTCCTCTAAGAAGCCGATAAATCTAAGTAGAGGATCCTGAAATCAAAATAAAAGATACTGAGGTTGTCACGTAAATTGTTAGTTCCTTCCTTTCCATGACATTTATAAATCTAGGTTTTCTTAACCCAAATCATAAACATACTTTAAATAGTACATTGAATAGGAAGACAGGAGGAGTTAAACCAGACACATTTAGGTACCAACAAGTTATCCTGGAAGTAATAAAAGATGTCTTCGTAATTGGCACACTGAGGGACACAAACATGGAGAGAAGAGGTCTGCTGGTCTCTCCTTTTCAAGATTTTAGTACTGGGAAGAGATAGAATTGATATATGCAGGGCTTGAGCCTCTATCCTGAGGGCTGGGAGACCTCTTTGAGATTGTATTATAAGGAAAAAACAACACACAAATAAATATATAAAAGTCCAATGGTTAAAAAAAAAAAGGCTATGAAAGAAAATAAAGCAGGCTAAGATAGTCTAGGGAGAAGGGTATGATGATCATGGGAAATCTCTCTGAATAAGTGGAGTTGAGCATTGACCCAGATGAGGAAGTATGCTAACATTGTTCAGGAGAAAGTTTGTTCCAGAAGGACTTGAATCATTCTGAGGCAGGGATAACTTGACTCACTCCCAGTATGGCTAGAGAGTTGACATGGTCAGAGTAAAGGTGATCCAGACATGATCAAAGAGGAAAACAGAGGCTAGATATGATCTTTAATACTCCTTACACAGAAGATGATAGTAACAATTAACCAATTGCTAAACAAAGACTGGCTGTATACAAATGCACTTATCTTTCTAGGCCCCATTAAAAAATATCAAAGTACTTAGCACAAGATAAAGCTATTACATACATCACATTGCTTTGCATGGGCACAACATTTGGACTTACAACTCTTCAATAGTGTCAAATTTGTGTTTGAGTAATAGCTTATTCCAATTACTTTATAATATAATTTGGAATATTTTGTTGGTCTTACCTCATAAAACATCAATTTATCACTATGCCTAACAAGAACCTGAGTTGTTGTCAAGGTTTTCTATAAGTCAATAGAAATGTTTAGGTACATACTCAAAAGCACTAAGAAAGATTATTAAAACCAAGCTCTGTAATAAAATCTTTGTAAAACAAAAATTGAATTACTTTTTGAAATTAGATTGTAAAATTTTATGCTTTGTTATATTTTAATAATTATGTTATTATCTTTATAAACTATTATATGTTATAATTAGGATTACAAACTGGTCATACTAAAGAGAAACATGTTTTTTAATTGGTAGAAACTGTATATATTTAGAATCAGGATTTTTCTGCAAGCTCTATGTGAGGAGCAACCCTTTTATTCTCAGGCATTCAGTAAGGTCATAGTTGTCATTTATTCTGTGTAATTTGCATATTTATATATGGCATTCAGTAACTTCAAAGTTGAAGTTTATTTTGTGGATTTTTTCCATCTTGCAAGAAAATTCCCCATTTATAGAACTGACGGATGCACATTCTTGGTGTTTTCTTCATGACTTTGGAAATTCCATTTTCAACCCAGCCAAAAATGTTATGGAAAAGTCTTTCGACCATTTGGGTGGTTGGTATGTGAAAAGGGTCATCTTCTGCTATCAGCAAACTTATCAGGGTATTAATTTGGATTATCAATGTGTTTTATATATATATATATATATATATATTTGTTGTACTATACATCAATATATACTAGCCACTATCTTTTCATGAAAATATCAGTATGTATAAAATCAAATTATAAAGTAAAAATATATTAATATTCAATAGGAGGAACAAAAGAAATATAAAATCATATTAGAAGTCATAAAGATACTTAGATAAACTAAAAACAAAAGAACTAATTGTTGTTCCTAAAGTGATGGGACAGGAAAAAAAAATCAAAACCAACTAAATCCTGAGAACACTGAACACAAAGTAGGATTAGATGAAATATAAAATGCTATTACCTTCATAGTATTTTAATATGTAAGAAATACTTTTTCTTACAATACTAAAAGAAACTCAATCATAGTCAAGAGATTTAAGCTTCATAAGCTATTTAAAATCTATTTAGCTGATTTTTAAATGATACATTTGACAGGAATTATTCAGTAAGTTATTTTTATTTTTCAAAGGAATTTGCATTGATATTTAATGAAGAGAAATAGAGTATGTCACAAATTATCTACATTTATGTTCATGATGAGGAATGTTACTTATATTCTCAGTTTTCAGGACAATAAAACATTCTTTCCTTTTCATGGATGATTTAGTAAAAGAGAGACAGTTGTTCTTTTAAATAATTATGAACTAAATGGCTTTACCCATAATTCCGAAACATCAAGTCACTGCTACCCAATTAGAAACAAATGTTTTAGCAGAAATGTTTTAATTCATTTTACATGTAAATTTACTGTGATTCATAATCAGGAAAATGCAAATTAAAACCACAATGAGATACTATGTTACACCCACCTAAATGGCAAAAATTAGAAAGTCTGACAGTAATACACAATACTGGAAAGAATATGGTACAATGGAAACCTCATGTAGTATTGGTGAGAACATAAATTGGTACAAGCACCACAGATTGCTGGGTTCTGAAATCCTTGTAGTAAATACATTCCCTGAAGAAACTCAGAGACACATGTGGCAGGAGATGTACAAAAAAAGCCATTTATGGATTCTATGTATCTAATAACCAAATGGTAAAAAAAAATCCAAATGTCCCTCAGCAAGAGAAATAATAAAATCTAATATATACATACAATGGAAAATGGACCAGTAAAATAAAAAGCACCACAAGTACAAACTTAAAAATGATGTATCACAAAAACAATAATGCTGCATAAAAGAAGCCAGTCTCCAAAAAAAAAATGTTTCAGCCAATTGCACATTCATAAGAGTAATATTAAAACCAGTAGAACTTCCATGATGTGTTGCTTAGAAACACATGTACATATGGCAAAGTCAGAAGGTAAGACAAGGGAATGATTTGTACAAGTTTAAGGTAGTGGAAGTAATTCTGTGCTTCTATGTGAATCTTTCAGGGAAGAATGTAAGTGACAAACTGGGTTCCAGACAAACAGATACTGATTAAACTATGTATATATGTATATATAATATATACATACATATATGTACATTTATGCCATACATAATTAATCAATCTACCTATCTGTCCGGTGGCTCACGACTGTAACCCTAGCTACTCAGGAGGCTGAGATCTGAGGATCGTGGTTCAAAGCCAGCCCGGGCAAGAAAGTCCGTGAAACTCTTATCCCCAATAAAAACCACCAGAGAACCAGAAGTGGTGCTGTAGCTCAAGTGGTAGAACACTAGCCATGAGCTGAAGAGCTGAGGGACAGCGCCTAGGCCCAGAGTTCAAACCCCATGACCGACAAATAAAAAAAAAAAAGTTAAATTTTGGAGTTTTATGGAACAAAAGGGTGAATATAGTTGTGTATTCTAGAGTTATATATTTTAAATCTGTAAATCAAAACATACAAAAAATGAGCAACTATGGTTTGTACTTATAATAGTAGCTCCTCAGGAGGGTGAAATACGAAGATTGCAGCCAAATCCAGACCAGGCAGGAAAAGTCCATAGATGGTAATCTCTAATTAACCAGCAAAAAGCCAGAAGTGAAGAGTGAAGCTATAGCTCAAGTGGTAGAGAGCCAGTCTTTAGCCCTTGTGCATTCATTTGAAGCCCCAGTAACCACCCCACCCCGCCCCCACACACACTTACACACTGAAAATAACATGTAGTGGGGATGGATAAGTAGAGGGATGTGGGTGGGACATGGACCTGCTTCAACACAGCACGGGTCCAATTTGAAATTTTACTTTCTTTTTCAGAATATTAAACTTAGAAATCTTATGAGATTTCACAGTTTTTGCAATATGAACAAATGATACACTTGGAATGCTACAAAAATAATTTATGTGCATGAATTCCACAGTCTCAGATTACTTTTTTAGTGATAAGCATAGAACTTTTATATACCGGGAGCTGGGAAGGTGGCTCAGTGGTAGAGTGCTTGCCTCGCATGCATGAGGCCCTGGGTTTGATTCCTCAGCCCCACATAAGCAGAAAAAGCCAGAAGTGGTGCTGCAGCTCCAGTGGTAGAGTGCTAGCCTTGAGCTGAAGAGCTGAGGGACAGCGCCCAGGCCCAGAGTTCAGGCCCCACGACTGGCAAGAAAAAAAAAAAAGAACTTTTATATACCAATCTTGACACATCCTGTAATCAGTGTATGCATATATGTACTTGTGTGCATTTCCATATGTCTGTGGGGGGTGCGGGGGTGTTACTTCTGACTCTAGCCAAAGTGGAAAGGGTCTGTGAAGTTGTATTATGGGTTAGTACAATGTTCTCAAGACTTTGAGATTAGAATGAATTATGTGCCCCTGTATCACAGAAGGAATAATTCTCAGCTGAGAATTAAAAGAGCAAGTATGGTTACATGTGTTATTAGTTACAGGTAAGTACATTGTAAAAAAAATACTTAATGTTTAGTTATTTTAAGACAATCTCTTGATATGCCTGT